CATTGTTTTGTATTTTAATTATGTTGTGGCATATTATGCATTTGTTTGTAAGGGTGTAATCTACCAAATGATTAAAATCATATAATGTTCATGTTACAATATATTTGGTGATTTTAAGATACAATAATTTGTTCTGTTGAGAGCTGTGTTGTTGTTTACTAAGGGTAAAGGGATGTAATATATTGAGAATTGTGAAGTCAAGGGAACTCACTCTTCTTGTATTAGTCTTATATTTATAATGTTGTTTTGGGTGATGTCCCTTGTTTATGTCTGGTGACTTCCTGTTCCTGTTCCGTCATGGTGGCTGAATAAAAGACTAGTTAACAATCAACGTGGCTTCTGCGTCAGTGTATAATAATGGAAACAGCTCAATCTACCTCAGAGGGGTTCATACTTCTGTACTTTGTACAGTCAATTGAAAACAAAAGTGCGAACAGATCATTGATTAACAGTCTGAATTAGATTATTGCAGAAAAAGGGTTCTTATATTTTTCAAATTGCGAAATTAATAAATAAAAGCTTGTAAAAACATTTTTTTCGTGGATGGGATGGGGGGGGGGGGGGGGGGGGGGAAGGCACAATATAAAAAAGGATTGTTTATTCCTATTAACAATCTCTATAGAATTTTCTTCTTTTGGAGTAGTGTGGGAGGGGTGTAGAAATTATGAGATGGATTTGTGACAACAGGCCTTAGAACTGGTGTCGAGGAGGGGGGTGTTAAACAGACTTAATTCATAGACAGTGATGAGTGAGTAATTGTATAAGGACATTAGTTAGATATTCAATCTAAAAGACAATCTACTCTAACTGAACTGAACGGCTTAGAAACAGTTTCTTTTCAAAAAATACAAAAGCTATGCTACATAGCATTTTTTTAAAGACACGTTGCTATCTTGTAAGTTTTAAATTTCCTTCCATTAAGCGCGAGGTTGAGTCGTTGTTGCTTTTTTAAACACATTACATTCTCCTGTAATTTCAGGTTCGCTTTGGTGCAGGAAACATGTAAGGTAATGCTGCCGATGAAGTGTACCATTGGTTGGGAAGGAATGTTTGGCTTTTTGTGACTATGCTTCACGGTAAAAATATCAGCCAAAGAAGCATGATGCCACTTATGGATGACTCGGGAACCGGACGTTTTCCCGAAAGACACTTACCCGAATGCGACAAATGCCCAAATGGACACTTGCCCGAATGCGAAAAACGTCCGAATGGACACTCGCCCGAATGCGACAAATGCCCGAAATCCACTTGCGCGAAGGCCGTTTGCCAGAAAAATATTAATATTAGATAATAAATAATATTACCAAGTAAACATTCTTTATCAATTCAAGTTTGAAAATAATCGCAATTCTAAGCATAAAAACAGTTTTACACCTCTTTGAGTCGGAAAAACATAATTTCGCAATCTTGTCCGTATGTCTCTCTCTCTCTCTCTCTCTCTCTCTGTGTATGTATGTGTCTGTAAACACGATGACTTGAGTACCGTTACAGCTAGGTAAGGAAATTTCATATATAAGTATAATATTAAATTTGTAGATCTGTATCAACTGTCATCGATTTCCGATAACCGGAAGTGGAACTTTTTCTACTTTGACATTTTCAAAAGCCTATAACTTGAGTATTATTTTATATAGATAAATGAAATGTCACATGTAAGTAAAAGATCTAATTCTTTTCCTTCTGTCAAATTTTGAGTCATTTCTGTTGACCGGAAGTAGTAATTTTCGCTATTTCCGATTTCTCAAAAAACGCATGTGAATTTATAAAGTACTAATAATATTCCGCACTATTATGCACATTTTATTTGGCGTTCACTTTGTGTGCAATTCTTTTTTCTATGAGATTTTATTCTATTTTAATAAGTTTAAGTATTTAAAATGGATTAAAAATCATGTCTATATCTCGAGCAGAGGCGTATCCAGGTTTTCGTTGTAGGGGGAGCGAAAAGAGCAAAAAAAGGCGCCGAATTTTCAACACGTTCTTAATACGTGTATTATATATATATATATATATATATATATATATATATATATATATATATATATATATATATATATATATATATATATATATATATATATGTCATTAATTCTCTATGATGTAAAATAAATTGAAAGTAGCACTCTGAAGAAATATGAAAAAACACGCAATGTTGGCCGACAAAACAAAAATTGTATCAATCTAAACAATATATATATATATATATATATATATATATATATATATATATATATATATATATATATATATATATATATACACTACAACCAAAAACAATGATCGTAACACAATCTGTTTTGTAATTCTTGTAAACAAAATTTCTTACATAATAATTCCTGGGGAATTATTTAAAACAAGGGAAATAGGGGAAATAATCACTCTCTTAATATAAATATGTATATATCTACACATTTACTTATAAATGTCAAAATAAATAAATAATTACTTAAAAATATAATGAAATTGTTTAAGACTATTCGTGTTTACAAAATGATTTTGTCTATAATAAGAATTTAATATATCGTCATCATAAATGCTAAAGTATTACAGCATAATGAAAGTTTTTAAAATCAGAGTTGGTATAAAAGCACGCTTTTCGATATATTAGAAGAACGTTCGGAATAGCAGCCTACAAATATCTAAATATCGGTCTTTCAGTTCAATACACATTTTAATTAACTACTGCTTCCTTGTGTTCTTTACAGATAATTTTGTTTTAACATAGTGATAGGTATGGATTAGATCACTGTATTGATCACACACCTTTTTACTGTTAATTTCAAAAACAATATTCACAGTTTTACGTTTAAAATGCTAATTTTCTGGCGGCATTGTACTATGGTACATCATTACGCGTTCTCTACATGTACTTAACAGATCAGTTCGGGGTGGGTTGGGGGGGGGGGGGGGGGGGGAATGGGTTCAACTTCATTCACCACTGTCCGTTCACTTTAGGTCAATTATCCAACCCAGTGTATACCTAGGTGTGACATTAATGTCGTTCTACACAATTGTGGTGGTGAGGTGTGTGTGTGTGTGTGGGGGGGGGGGGGGGGGGGTGGGGGGGTGGGAGATAACCAACTCAGAGTGAACATAGCGTCAGTTTTTAGATGACTGTTCTAAACATACATATATATTACACAAATATATATTACACAAATATATATTACAGAAATAGATTTAAATAAGTAGCAGTGGTATTATGACAATATTTTTTTTCAGAAGGGTCCATGGGCGTGGGAGGGGGGGGGGTTGTAACTGTTTCATATAATTTGTAATCGTAATCACTATCGCCCAAACTTTTTCTGTATTGCAATTTTTTTTAAATTAATCACACGATTCAAACTGTATATATAAAGCAGTGGCGTAGCGAGGTCGGGTGTCACCCGGTGCGGCACTTAATGGTGTCACCCCCCAGAGGCCCAACGACAAACTTTCAATTTTCGATTTACACCCCCCCCCCCCCTCAAACTTTCGATTTGCACCTCCCCCCTCAAACATCCGATTTGCACCCCGCACCCCCCCCCCCCTCAAACTTTCGATTTGCACCCCCCATCTCTTTAAAGACTATTTAACACTCTAATTAATCACTCTACTAAGTGGAATTATCATTTTTCTCTATATATTTTGCTATTTTTTGCCTTGGTGTCACCCCCCTAAATGGTGTCACCCGGTGCGGTCCGCACCCCCCGCACCCCCCTTGCTACGCCCCTGATATAAAGTAATTATGTGTGAAGTTTTATGTATAACATTTTCTAATTCAATTATTCGTAAGCAAATACATTATACAGTTGCCTTCAACTTAACACCCCTCTTGCCAAGTGGTACTACCGTAGAGGTATTTTAAACATTGCAATACATCGTAATGGTTATTTTTAGAATGGCAAACTGATGCAGCTGTTAATACGTGTTGTAAACGTAGACACTACTAGACTAGAACAATAAAGCTTAATTGCTGCATGAAAAGAAATCTTGTGATTTACATAGATGTGCCGACCAAAAATATTTTTTTTAACAAATATCATTGTTTATAACTTTCAATTTATAAAAAGTTTCCAAAAAGGCGCCACTTTGCTGGAAATGGCCAGAGGGGGAGCGGCCGCTCCCCCTGCTCCCCCCCCCCTGCGTACGCTACTGATCTCGAGTTGCCATCCCCTGTTGTTTCATATAAGAATATTCGAGAAAGTTTAGGGGAGATCACTCTCGGTTTATTAGCTGACGTATTGCGGTGGTTAAATAGTGTTTATAACACGGTGTAGACGGCGCGGCGTCTGGCAACATTGAATAGAGGCGCGTGTTTGTTTGACGTATCTTGTTAAGCTTAACTTGTGGGGTGACTATTTCACAACTGAACGAGGCTCGGTCCAGGCGACGAATTTAAAAAACTTAAGGTAGTCAATTATGTTTTATCTCCATTAAACGCACTTTGTTTAGACAATGTGTTGAAGCGATTACTTAATAGAGAAAGCTTAGATATGTATTTGTTTATCAATATTTCAAATTAAATTGATTACGAATGATTATTTGGTAATATATAATGTTAACATTTTTCGGACAAACGCCTTCGTGCAAGTGGCATTCGGGCATTTGTCGCATTCGGGCAAGTGTCCATTCAGGCTTTTCCCCATTCGGGCAAGTGTCCATTCGGGCAAGTGTCCATTCGGGCATTTGTCGCATTCGGGCACTTGTCCCATTCGGGCATTTGTCGCATTCGGGCAAGTGTCCATTTGGGCATTTGTCGCATTCGGGCAAGTATCCATTCGGGCATTTGTCGCATTCAGGCAAAATTGTCCATACGGGAAATCGGCCTTCAGGCAAACGGCCTTCGGGCAAGTGTCTTTCGGGAATTAGTCGTAGACCCGGATGATTCCTACATTGAAAAATATTTTAACTTTTAAAATATTTCATTATATTAAGTTATAGAATAAAATAAATGAGCCAATTAAGTGAAGCAGATATTTTTTTACGTATTTCTCTATTTTTTTGCTTAAAATAAAATATTAACTTACCAAAGAACTGTTAAAAGACAACATGTCGTCTGAAATGAATGATCCCGTAGTATCCATGTTTTGTAAGTTGTTCTCGTTAATATGTTTCATAATTGCAGCAATTGTTGATTTTCTAATCCTGTTATTGCTAAGATTCATTTTACTCAAACTTCCAAGGTGATTCTGGACAAGGTGCAAGATTGCCTTCAAAAGGAAAAATAAAAACCTCTTGACTAAACTTATTAATGTATTTACTTCCCACTGTTAATCCTTCCTTGTTATTATTATCATAATTATCTTTTTCAGCTTCTAAATTAATATTCATTTTTTTGATAAAAAAGAATAGTGGGGAAACCAAAGACTCCCTGCCCTTAGTTTGATTTTAGCATTTTTGTTTTCTTAAATGAAGCATTTATAATAATTAAAAAAGATTGCCTGCTTGGGCTACAAGTACATTGCAGAATAATAAAACATGTTTCAACGAAATATGACAAAATTAGTGCATTAACATAATTTGTATTTGCACATTTTCTGATTGCGCATTGTTCTGTAAACCAAAATGTCCTATGGTTTAAAAATTGACCTGCTTAACCGCTCAATTTTAACTGTTAAAGGGAGAGATGTCTGGAAGAAACTCTGGGTGCATGCAAAAGATTTGTCAGACATATGAAGGCGAAGTAAATGTTTTAAAAAAAAAAACCCTCTGTTTTTCATATGCTTTGCAATGATTATAGAGGGAAATATGACTGGTCAGCTTTGACCGCTTTAGCAATTAGTCCCAGATATGACATGTTTTTTTCTGGCATTGGTCTGCAACCCCTACAAAAAAAATATAAATATGGTGGGGGCGGGGTCATCGAGCAATTGTTTCTATATATAGTTTATATATGTCAGTCGTGGTTATTTTGTAGCCCTAGGTGAGGACCTACACCTTGAGTATGATCGAATTTTTTCCGTGTTCCATTCGCTAGAACGCCTACGAAATTTGAAGTGTATGCGGCGCCGGCAAGTGCCCAACCAGCATTTGACCACTTTGCTGTATCATTTAATGTATATAGGCCTTAATGTGGGAGCGTGTGTGTGTATGTAGGGTATGTATAACCAGGTTTTTGTACGTATGTCCTGAACTCCTCAATAAAATTTCTAATCACCTGACCAAATGTGTGCCTGTTTGGAATATAATGATAAAATAACCAGAGCTAATTTCATAGCAAACTGGCCATCCCCGAGATCTGTATATGCTAAAGCCTCTGTTCAACGCCAGTATAGAATATTACGATCAACAACTAACACTCAGTATTTTCATCAATACTGTTGTGTACCTCCAAGTATTTATTACTGTTTCAAAGTTTTGATAAACAGAAAAATTGTCATACAGTAACTATGTATTATACATACTTGGCCAGAGTGTTCAGTTAAGCCACATCCCTCCATGTCCAATATTTCTACTGATTGACTGGCTGCCATACCCACTAAAACACAACTTGCACCATAATCACCAAGGGTATTGTAATCCAAAAATAGCCACTTCAGGGAACTGCAGTTGGCTAAACACATGGCAAATTGAGCCCACCCTAGAGCACTTATCCGAGGATTATCACTTAAAGTTAGTTCTGTTATTCCTAAGAAAAAAATTATCAGGATAAAATTACCATAACGCTCTAGGTATATTCAGTAGTGATGTGTATACAAATGTGTCTATGCACCAAAGTTAAATGAATTATTTTTTGGTTGCATAAAATTTTAAAGCGATTTAATTTTTAAAGCTATTTGAGTAGCAACTTTAGAACAATTAATTTGAAAATAAGTTCTAATGAAATTTTTTTCAAAAGTGAACAAAGCGTTTTTATAGTTATTAGTAGTGTATTTACTTTTCTATATTATAAGATATAAATAACTACCAGGTTTGTTATTAGCAGGGAGCATTAAAGAGTAAAGGACATCAATGGACATATCACCAAGCTTGCAGTCACCCACATCTAAGGAAACAATCCCAGGATGATTGCAGAGTGAATGGTGAAGAATATGCATACCAGCATCTCCAATATCACTGCCATGAATACTGTAGGATGAAACATATGATGAGAAGACAAATTACCTCAAATATCCCAGACAAAATAATTTAAATATCAAAAGGACCCAGGACTAAAAATATATATAAAAAAAAAAGATTCCATAGACAAATGACCTCAGACAAAATACAATATATATAAATATAAAATAATACATAGATTATAGATATAAATATATATATATATATACATAATTATGTATGTATATATAAACACACACATATATATATAGGCCTATATATATATATATATATATATATATATATATATATATGAGAGAGATTGACAGACTGATACAAAAATAACGTAGGTTATTAATATGTTATCAAACTTATAATTTCATTAAAGATTTAAAATACAAAATAGGTTACTTACTGAAGTCCAGTCAAAGATTTGTTATTACGTAAGCAACGTGATAATGATTTAATGTGATCTAAAGTTGTCACCATTCCAATACTTAAAGTTAATTGTTGTAACGACTGGCATGAACCAATATTTTTTAAAATATGATCCAAATCCTTACTGCTCAATTTGCATTCCCTAAGGCAAAGCAGCTTTAGTTGATTTTTTTTGCAGAGAATCACAAATATATGCAATTTCGTCTGCAGATAAAGTAACAGCAGTTCTTTGAAATGTTGTTTCAGTAGGGAAAGACATTTGTGTTTTCCAATCAGTTTAAGCTGTAACAGAAAAGAGTAGTGTTGTTAATACATGTATACATATAGTATATTCCAACTTAGTGGCCTCTCTAGGTCGAGTGTCACTCGGTGCAGCACCTCACGGTGTCACTCCAACCCCTCCCCCCCCCCCTCCGTCAAGAAGAAAATTACACACACACAACAGTGGCGTAGCTAGGATTTTCGGGCCCCTATGCAAAAATTATCAGAGGGCCCCTTTGTCAGCCATTTATAGGCTACAAAGGAGTGAACCGAAGAAATCAACTGATACTTCCGATGTACGTTTTTAAATAATATAAAAATTCTGTACATTTAATACATCCTAATAGTTTATGTATACTATATGCCTACAATCCCATTGTTTTGTTTAACTGTTGCAGGCTTAGAGTTAATTTATTTTTGTTTTTCAAGTAACCAGACACAGTAGGGTCACAAGGCGGGGGCAAAGGTGCGGCTAACAAACATTTAGGCGTGACACCATGACGAAACGTTGTAAAATTTACTTAAAAAAATAATATTGTATCCAGCTAAAATAATAAAAGATAAGTCAGAGAGGGGTGACACCCCACCGAAAATACAATGTTGTTGGGTACGATGGGGTGAAAACTTCGGTAAACGCGTTAGGGAACACCCGACCTTGTGACGCCACTATTACATTTATTTTTATAAACTGCTCATAATTTATTTAGATCTTTTTTTCTCATGCTTTTAATTTTTAAAAATGATTAATAAGTTCATTGAGATCTGCTTTAGCTGCTTCTGTATGTTAGATACTTAGGATGGCCAAGTTACTGACCAAAAGGGCATTTCTACAATTTGTTTCATAACAAATTTACAGCATCATAAATGAACAAATAATGAGATTTTAAAAATGCCTTCATATTCATGGACATCAAAATCTCCTTCCTGATCACAGTATAATGTTAAGTATATTTATCTGCAGCTAGCATACCCGTCCGCGTTGCTGCGATGTAGTCCCACATACCGGTGTAATGAAACAATTTGTAAGGTTTTCATCAACGCGTTACCTATTGTATATTTGTAGTCGTGTGACTATTTTTCTAAAACTGAAATAGTTAAAAGGTAAACAACGCCACTGTTATTTTTTTCGGATCTTTTTTGCTGGGGCGTGAGTTCGTCCAAACTACCAGCCAGACGCCCTTGGGCAGAGCCAGCGTTAGGGGGTGGCGAACGGGGCGGTCGCCATAGGCCCCGCGCTTGAAGGGGCCCCGCGCTTCAGCAATGTCATTGTTATCTGAATTAGTTCGTAAACTTAAAAAAAATTGTTGCTGAATTCAATTGGGAAAAACTAAATGGTCGAATGCCGACGTTGTTGATTGTTATAACTGAGGCCACGGTTGATGTTGGTGAGTCCCACCTGAACTGGGACAGGCCGTAATTCGATACAAAAATAGTGTCACACCTACTCTTTGTGTAGGGTACGGTCGCCTGGCATTTGACCTGAGCTGACTGGAGATAGCGGTCGAGAATTAGCCCACGACGTAAAGAGATACCCTATTGTATGCGGACCGATGAAGACGTCCTTTTAGTGAGCAGACGGGATGTCTATAGTAGACAGTTAGTGACCTGATGAACTCTAGTCCTAACTTTCTTGTTGTAGATGTCGTATAATGTCGTATATGTACAGTGTTTCTTCCAGACTTTTTTCTCCGGGGGGGGGGGGGGGGGGGGGAAAGGGACACTTGAAATTTTCGGGGGGGGGGGGGGGGGGCGGTAGACTTTCTTCGGGGGGGGGGGGGGCGGACACTGTTAAAAGTATATATTTTCTCTATAAATTATATAAATTTCATTTCGTTTTCGGGGGGGGGGGGGTACAAGCCCCCCCCCCCCCCCCCCCCCCGAAGAGATGCCTGGAAGAAACTCTATATGTAGGCCTACTTGTCTTGGTGTAACAAAATTAACATTCAGTTGCGTGCAGAGGGGTGGGAGGAGGGCGACGAGGAGGGGGGGGGGCTTAGGATCTATATCAGGCGGCATTAAACAGAGTGATTTATTATTATTTTTTGGAAGAAAGTTAAAACTGTTGTTATGTTGTGTCACCTTAAGGATTCACCCGTTCAATAATTAAGACAATAATGTTTTTGGTTTTAAAATATTGTATGAATTCTAAACAAATTTTAAAGTCTATACTGTTTTGATACATCAGGCCGAGTTCACTGTATTGTAAACTTTATTTTCCTAATTATTCGGCACGTGATTAAATTTTCTTAAGTGATTTGGTATAAATTACATAACTGTTAAATGTGATTTAATATCTTAGCAAAGGAAAAAAAAACTACGAACATATATATATATATATATATATATATATATATATATATATATATATATATATATATATATATATATATATATATATATATATATATATATATAATGGAAAGGCCCCGCGCGGATGGTTGGCCCTAGGCCCCGCGTATTCCTAACGCCGGCTCTGCCCTTGGGCATGCTGTATGAAAGCATTGAGCGTACGTTAATCATTCTCCGTAGTAGTGAGGTTGAACACCTTTCAGCGACCGCCTGAGGGTGTCGCGGGAGTAACGTGTTACACTACCATAAGTAGCCGGATACTACCCCTGTTCGGTTTAATTATCGAACATAGAGGCCTACAGTATGGTACTCATGTGTTTGGTGTCATCCGTAAGCCGGGGGCGCGACTACCGGGGCGCCGGATGATACACCTGTCAGTGGCGTAGCGAGGTCGGGTGTCACCCGGTGCGGCACTTAATGGTGTCACCCCCCCCCAAAAGGCGTAGCGACCCTTCCCGGGGACAAATTTTTGATTTGCACCCCCCCCCCCCCCTCAAACTTTCCATTTGCACCCCCTCAAGTTTTTCTCTATATATTTTGCTATTTTTTGCCTTGGTGTTACCCCCGTAAATGGTGTCACCCGGTGCGGTCCGCACCCCCGCCCCCCCACCTCGCTACGCCTCTGACACCTGTGCAAATTTGATCGCTGCGCCGGACATTCAAATTAACGGACCCCGGGTGCAAAAATAGCCGCTGGGAAACTGAGTGGCAAAACAGCACCGCCTTACTGCCGAGCGCCGCTATCAAATAAATATAATTTAATGCAAGAAACCTTCCCCAGAGTTTCTTTCAGGCACATTTTCAGAAAAATATCTGGGAAAAAACACTGCCTAGAGTATTCTCAAATACTTCCCAAAATTTCTTGGCGATTGGATGAAAACCAAAAACATATAGGGATAGTAGCGCCATATGGGCCCTGTTCGACCCCCCCCCCCCCATCCCCCTTACACACACTGAATGCCAATGCCTGTACAGTAGAGAAGGGACTGGGGGCTTTTTTTGGAACTTTAAATTATCTCTACAGTAGGAAAGAAACCGGATTTCCTTTTTTACTTTCTCGTATATACGAAGTATAGAGAAAGTATTGTAATCGTGCACAAAAATCAATTGAAATTTTAACAATTTTCACCGTATTACACCTCAGTCCTTCATCACATCCGAAGTATAGAGGACTTATTTTAATCGGGCAAAAATTATCAATCCAGATTTATCAAAATTAAGAGGTTTTATGCGTAATCCAGTCTGAAAAACTGGGCTTTGCAATTCTGTCCGTATGTCTGTGTGTGTGTGTGTCTGTCTGTCCGTGTGTAAACACGATAACTTGAGTACCGTTACAGCTAAGTTGATGAAATTTCATATATAAGTATTTTATCAAAATCGTAGATCCGTATCAACTTTTGAGCGATTTCCGATAACCGGAAGTGGTACTTTTTCTACTTTAAATTTTTTAAAAGCCTATAACTTTAGTACTATTTCAGATAGATAAATGAAATTTCACATGTAAGTAAAGGATCTAATTTTCTACCTGGTGTTAAATTTTGAGTAATTTTCATTGACCAGAAGTAGTAATTTACGCTACTTCCGATTTCTCAAAAAACTAATGTAAATTTTTAGAGTACTAATAATATTGCGCACTATTATGCACTTTTTTATTTGGCGTTCAATTGGTGTGCAATTCTTTTGTCTACGAGATTTTATTCTATTTTTAAAACTTTAAGTATTTAAAATGGATTAAAAATCATGTCTATAGCCCGAGTTCCCATCCCCTGTTGTTTTATATAAGAATATTCGAGAAAGTTTAGGGGAGATCACTCCCGGTTTATTTTAAAAATTATTTACATAAAACAAATATTAAATATCCAATTTAATAGTTTTAGTTTTTTTAAAGAAGGAAAAGGGCCCCATTGTGCCTTGGGCCCCTATGCCTTGCATACGCTAGCTTTACGGTAGCTACGCCACTGACACACAAATGTATAAGCCTAAGCTAGACAATAAAGCTACATATGGCACGAAGATTAAAAAAAATTGCTTTCGATAGTGTAGGTCAAATCTCGTCAAAGAGTAAAAGTTGGTCAAGTTTGGGCCGTCTGAAAACTTTCAATATTGATTTGGGCGTAACCAAACTGGACTGCAGTGTGTGTCATTAAAAATGAAATTACACTGTTCCATGATAGCTAAATCAGCCTCCAAAAAAAGGTCACTCAAATTATATTTTTTTATTGTGATGTCATTGCCATCAAGAAGAAGGCTGTACAATAGTAATCTATGTTGCAAGGCTACTTATTATATACTTTTATTTAATTTGACACTCATTTTGTGTCCAATTTCTTCCTGCAATAAGGATAATTAAGGGGATATGCTATTTTAAAAAAAACAAATTTACAATGTCCCATCTGAAAATTTTAAAATATTTTTGCAATGTTTGGCACATAAAAGTAAGTACTATACAGCAAAACAGAGTTTACATTTTTTTTCAGATATAATGGAAACCTGAAATAACATCTGTAATTTTGAAATTGTCTGCATATTGAAAATGCTAAGGCTTTTTACAAGCTTTTATTTAGTTCACTTCCTCGTCAGTCGACAGTCTGTCTGTCGTCAGTCTAGATCGAAACGCAGGAGTGAAAATTCGGACACTTCTACTTGACCGATACGATTCACATTTGGCACGTGGGTCAAGACATGAAGACAATGCAATCTGAAACTAAATTTGACTTAATTGGATGCCTATTTAATTTTTTATGAATTAATTAAAATTTGGACCGAATTAGTAGGCATGCTTATCCAACCACACCACACGCGTCATCACGTTCAATAGCTGCGCCATCACGTTCAATGGCTGCGACATCACGTTCAGTAGGCGCGCAATGGTTTTTAGTCATGTAACTCTATTGTAAATAAAACATGTAAAGTACTGAAAAAAAATTCATAAAAATCGTTTTAATAACAAGCTTTTATGTAATAATCCACTAAAAAGTAGAAAATAAATTATAGACTACTATTTAAATAACTATAAAGAAAAGCGATAAATTATACACCACTATTTAAATTACTATAAAGAAAAGCGTGGGTCTCTTCTCAAATATTAGTAAAGGTATCCAATAGGTACTAAAGTACTAAAGTGACCCACGCTTTTCTTTATAGTAATTTAAATAGTAGAGTACAATTTATTTTCTACTTTTTAGTGCATCATTACATAAAAGCTTGTTATTAAAACGTTTTTTATGAAAAATGTTTATTTATGCATGTAGTAAAGCAATCAATTTACACTGCTTATATTTCAGTATTAACTAAAACTTTTGTATCGACAACTTTTTGTTAGGGCTACTGGTCTGAAATCTACAGGGCCAGAAGGATTGCTCTATATTTAGTATGCGAAAATCTGAACAACAATTGCTAATGTCAGAGGCGTAGCGAGGAGGGCGGGGGGTGCGGACCGCAACGGGTGACACCATTTAGGGGGGTGACAGCAAGGCAAAAAATAGCAAAATATATAGAGAAAAAGTTGAGGGGGGTGCAAATCGAAAGTTTGAGGGGGGGGGGGGGGTGCAAATCGAAAGTTTGAGGGGGGGGGGGGTGCAAATCGAAAGTTTTGAAAGTTTGTCCCCGGGAAGGGTCGCTACGCCTCTGGGGGGGGGGTGACACCATTAAGTGCCGCACCGGGTGACACCCGACCTCGCTACGCCACTGGCTAATGTTTTACCATAAACTTGTTTTTTACAAAAGCCATCGAAATTTCCTCATGAAAAAAGTTTTATTTTATTACTAGCGTGCCCGAAATCAATAAGAAGCGTTTTATCAATGCGTTACCAATCCTGTATACTTAGACGAGTACCTCTTTTTTCTAAAATTGAGTTTAAATATAAATGTAAACAATATAATATTTATCGGGGCACGGGTATACCTACCGCAAGAAAGCCTTGAGTGTACGTTAACCACTAACCGTAATGGTGAGGTAGAACACACTTTGGTGATCGCCCAGGTATCAGGTAGAGGGGCGCTCATGAGAGCCCCCGGATACACTGCCGCATGGGCGCCGCGTACGGTCACTGGCTATTTAAAACTAACGTAAGTGCCCAGGTGCTCACAGGATAACCCTGAACGCCAAATAGCTCCTGAAACAGATTGCATCATTCGCTAAAGTGACAAAAATCAACAGGATTTTTATTTCACACGTAGAAAAAAATTATTTGACGTGTTATAAACATGGAATTGTTTGGAATTTTTATGGACAAAAGGAAACAACCCAATTAATAATCTAACCTTGGTTAATTTATCTGATTATTAAAAAAAAATTATTACAGGGCTCTCAGCGGCCCATGTGAACCTTTTAAATTTAGTTAGGGACTGTAATGCCCCATCTTATCCTTTGTAAATTTCACTGTTTAGAACGAACGTAGGCGCCATTGCGCTCACGGGAAATCCCAGGGCGCTAAATCGAACCCGAGAGGGGCTCTGATGGACACGCCTGGTTGGATATAGTCAACGATTATTGTTGCCCATGGTGTCTTTAGTATAAAGCCTTTTTTTGAAAAAGCGAACGTACGTGCCTTAATGCCCATTTTGCAGTTTTACAGCTGAATATAATGTAACCCCTTACCCGCTATCCAGAACTCCGATTAAAGGATGCCAAGTGCTAACATAGCCGCTTTGGAACTCGGGGCGCTAAATTGTGTATTGACAAAAATCGCACCATGGGGGGGGGGGGGGGGCTCCATATTAAATTTTAATGGCTTTCGGGTGAACGGTGTCGAATCGCATCCGACTTTTATTTTTTTATACCGTACATAGAGAAAAATCGCACCCTCCCGGGGCGCCGCCCTTGCGAAACTAAAAATAAAAGATTGTTTTGCAAAACCGTTCCCTGGAGTGTTCTAATAAACTCCCCAAAGTTTGATGGCGATCGGATGAACGGTGTGAAACCGATATCGACTTTTATTTTAACATACCGTATATAGAGAAAAAAAATCGCGCCCTGCTAGGGCGCCACCCCTGCGAATTTGAAATATTTTGTTCGCAGAAACCTCCTTAGAGGAGCATTCCCAACAATTTCCCAAAGTTTCATGGCGATCGGATAAATGGTGTAGTAATGCATTAAAGACAACAGACAGAGAGACAGAATTATTGCTTTATTTATATATATATATATATATATATATATATATATATATATATATATATATATATATATATATATATATATAAATAAAGCAATAAAGACAACATTAAAGACAACAGACAGAGAGACAGAAATATTGCTTTATATATATATATATATATATATATATATATATATATATATATATATATATATATATATATATATATATATATATAAATAAAGCAATAAAGACAACATTAAAGACAACAGACAGAGAGACAGAAATATTGCTTTATATATATATATATATATATATATATATATATATATATATATATATATATATATATACTTCTAGCGTACCAGTCCCCTCGCGTTGCCGCGGGAATAGAAGAAAGTATGACGAAATATACAAGAAGGGTTTCATCAATGCGGTACCAATCCTATGTACTTAGACGCGTGACCTTGTTTTCTAAAACTGAGTTATTTAATTTTTAAAAAATGCATGCGCTTGGATCATAATTATCGGGACACGGGTTTACCTACACTACCGCATGAAAACCTTGAGTGCACCTTAATCACTTAGCGAACTAATGAGGTTGAACACACAGCATACGGCCCCTGGCAACTTAAAACTAGCATGGGCGCCATTGTGCTGAGAGGATAACCCAGAGTGCCAAAATAGCATCATGTTAACAATGATGCAGATTGTGTCATTCACCAAAGTGACACAAATAAACTGGATTTTTTCTTTAAAACATAAACAAATTATTTGACTTGTTTTAAACATCAGTGTGACTGATGCAATGTGATAGCGTTACTAATGGTCTATTATTAGATGCTCAGTCTCAAATTCTGATTGGATCGTCTAAAAATAGATGCTAATTGCATCATTCGCAAAGTGTTAAAACTGTTTGGATTTTTTACGGACAAAAAGAAACATGCCAGTTAATAGTCTAACCTTGGTTAAATTTTCTGATTATTAAAATAAAACGTATCGCATGGCCCTCAGCGGCCCACGTGAGCCTTTGGGGGCCGAAACTGAAATTTTTGTTCTCAGCCAAATCGGACCCTACCAGGGCGCCGGCGGACACGCCTGATCCAATTTAATGAGCAACTGGAACGCACCATCTTATCCATTGTCTATCACACTGTTTAGACCGAACGTAGTCGCCATAGCGCTCACGGGAAAGACCACCCGCGCTAAATCACATCCTACCGGAGACCTACCGTGCGAAATCCAACCCCTCCCCACCAGAAACCTTTTCGGGAGTATTCATCAACTCCCTAAAGTTTTATGGTACTCGAATAAACGGTGTCAAATCGCATTTGACTTTCATTTTTAATATATCGTATATAGAGAAGAATCGCACCCTCCCGTTGCGCCGTGCTTGCGAAGTTAAAAAGAGATTTTTTTACAAAACCCTACCCTGGAAGGTTCTGATGAACTCACCGAAGTTTGATGGCGATCGGATGAACGGTGTGAAACCGCAATGGACTTTTTTTTATACCGTATATACAGAAAAAAACATACGCAGGACCCCCCCCCCCCCCCCTTAGGATTATTCTCAACAACTTCCCAAAGTTTCATGGCAATCGGATAAATGGTGTAGTAGTGCATAAAAGACACAGACACACATACATTGCTTTATATATATATATATATATATATATATATATATATATATATATATATATATATATATATATACTTTATAAAGTTACGTCCCTTGTACATAGGTCAAATGACGTAGTCTTTGTTTACTTTTTCACAAACAATTGTTTATATAAGAAAATACAGCATCTGGACAAATCTAACGACCCTAAGGGGCTTTTCCGAATGGAATAGCGTTTTTTTTTGTTACCTTACAGGATCGGTCTAAGACCAGACAAATTATAATTTTTAATCAACTATTCCCCCTTATAATATACTAGCCATCGGTACCCGTTTCACGTGAATTATAGGCCTTTGAATTTTTAATGTTATACATATTTGGAAATAATAAATTATAAAATAGTTATTGATCAAAATGCAACACTACACGTTGAAATATTAGTGACAAAACAAAGAAATAACTAAATAGCTAAAAATCCGGCACATTTAAAAGAACATAGACTACCAATACGTATTAGAAAAATTAAAACCAAATTATTTATCTCTCTCTCTCTCTCTCTATATATATATAATTCTCTTCTTGGAGACGATAGAAAACACCAAGCTGTAAGCGCGCTCCCTACCACCCCAACCCCCTACATGGTCTGGTGAACTGTGGTTCACGCTAAATGTTTACAATCGTAGAGACGGGTTTAGTGACGGCTATTAGGGGCATATAATGCAGTTTGAAATGATTTTAAACCAATGGGAGGTAACTAAGAGCAGTTTGCTTTCAAGGGTGGGGGGGGGGGGGGGTTCGTCCTCAACGACAATCTGATAGTGTTTTAAAGGAAATATTTTCAGTGGCTGCGCTGGTACTGTCGAATTAAAAAATTATGAATTACTGAAAAGTAGAAAATAAAACAACTAAATAGCGGCGTATGATACGACTCGTATACATTATTAGTCATCAGAACACCATATTAAATGCACAAACTGATCAAGAGACTTAAATGATTCCGTTAAAAATCTAAGTAATTTGTATTAGTTTGACCAATAAAATTGTATATATTTCATAGCTTACGTCTTGATGAGTAGATCAATAGAACTAAATCTAAATCAAATTTAAATAAAATAGCTCATTTCTTTATACTCTAAAATCAAGTAGGCCTACACTATCATCAGCTATTTAGGCACCTTATGAGACATGAAGAATAAAAGACATAGATTAGTTAAGAAACTTAACTTACGTGAATAGGCCTATTCTTTCAAATTAATTTTTTTTATCCCAAATTAGCCAGTTCCATAGCTAAAGAAACAAAGATGTCTATGAAATAATTAAGGCGTGAAATAGTTTAATAAAGAAATTTATTAATCGAATAGATTCTAGAGTAGATAGAGTCTAAATCTAGAATCTAGATCTTAGCGTCTACGTCTAGTTCTTTTTGCGTAGATCTAGCCTAGATCTAGATATTCTAGATCTTAGCGTCTACGTCTAGTTCTTTTTGCGTAGATCTAGCCTAGATCTAGATATTCTAGATCTAGGCTAGATCTAGATATTCTAGATCTAGATATAATAATAATATAATAGATGAAGTGAATTTTATAAGTTTAGGCCGAGAAAATCGTATTGTAATCATTTCATAGCGTACGTAGCTCTAAATCAGGGGTCTCCAAACTTTTCAGTCCGAGGGCCGCATTAACTATCAAATTTCAGTTCGGGGGCCAGTTTCTTACAGGCATGTCTTTCATTTTCTGGGCAAAGTTCCTCAGCCATCACCAACAGACGATTTTTCCTTGGACAAAAAGATCTCCGCGGGCCGGATGAGAGGACTTCGCGGGCCGCATCCGGCCCGCGGGCCGTAGTTTGGAGACCCCTGCTCTAAATCATATTAGAATGAAATAGTTCATTTCTTTATTTTATTCCAAACTCGAGAAAATGACGTCATTAGTTTCGTGCTCTTTTAGTGTAAATAATAAGTGACGTCATTGTTAAATGCGTTCTTGTCCAAATATAAACACTTTTCCAGTTGCATAATTAAAATTGTTTTTCTACATTCGAATACGCCTTTATTTTTTATTTTTCTTCTTTAAATAAAATTGTGGTTAAACATTAAAAACATCTAACATATTATTTTCAACAAAAGTCCGTATCAAGTTCTCCATATATCGCTGCAGATTCTGATGTGATATCCGGCGAAAATATTTTGCGGACAGAAAGAGAGAGAGAGAGAGAGAGAGAGAGAGAGAGAGAGAGAGAGAGAGCGAGAGAGAGAGAGAAGTGCGCACATGGGCTTTTATATATTAGGAAAGTCGTCACGTTCATTAGGTGCACAATGGTTTTAGTCATGAAACTTTATTGTAAATTTTAAAAAGTACTGAAAAAAATGCATCTAATATATAAAGTTCAATTCTGTATCTAAAATGTTTGTAAAATGTTTGTCGTGGATTACAAAGGAATATGAGAAAAAATTAAAAAAAAACGAGACGTCGATGGATTCAAGTGTTAGATTATTACAGCGCTCATGGTCTAAATTTATGAGTTAAAAAATTAATACTGAAAGTGTTGGGAAATAATTTTCAATTTTCAAACTGATAGTAATAATTGTCAGCATGTTCATTAAACACATTTTAAAAACAAAAATATCATCTTTTACAAAAATTCTAATTATGTCTGAAAATTATTTATATTTAGTCCTTGATAAATTAGGAAAACACAATTACTTCCCTTTATAAAACATTGCATTAGTGGAAAAGAGTTTACTTTTTATTACTTTGTTTTGGTGTTGGGAAAAAAATAATTACATTATGAGCGGGGATTGATCAAGTGCAAATGTTGTAGGTATTTTACGGATAAGCATGGAGTATTATAATTGTTCATTAAATTGAAACAGGCGCGTCCGCCGGCGCCCCACCAGGGTTCAATTTGGCGCCCTGGGCTATCCTGTGAGCGCTATGGTGCATAATTTCGCTTTAAACAGTGCGATAGAGTATGGATAAAAAAGGTTACTACAGTCTTTAAGTGAATCGAATCCGGGCGTCCTCTGGCGCCCAAACAGAGTGCTATTTAGGGACCCGGGCCTCCCGTGTTCGGTTTGGCACCTACGTTCGTTTAAGTAAGTGCAAAAGACTATGAATAAGTTTGGTTACAATAGTCGTTTATTAAGCTGAAACAGGCGATTTCGCCGACGCCCCAGCATGGTGCGATTTGGCGCCCCGGGCTAGACTGTGAGCACTTTGCGTTTATGTCCGCGTTAGTGTTTTCTTTGTGTTTAGGTTGGGTTTGCGTTAGTGGTTGCGTTTAGATTTGGTTCGTTTTTGTTCTTTCTTTTTTCGTTTTCGCTTGTTTTTTTTTTCTTTGGGTTTGTGTTTGTATTTGTGTTTGTGGTTGGTTTTGCGTTTGGATTTGGTTTGTTTTCGTTTGCTTTTTCGTTTGTGTTTTTTTTTCTTTGGGTTTGTGTTTGTGGTTGGTTTTGCGTTTGGGTTTGGTTTGTTTTCGTTTGCTTTTTCGTATTTTTTTTTCTTTGTGTTTGTATTGGTGTTTGTAGTTGTGGTTGGGTTTGTTGTTAGGTTTTTGTTTTCGTTTGCTTTTTTGTTTGTTTTTTTCTTTGTGTTTGTATTGGTGTTTGTAGTTGTGGTTGGGTTTGTTGTTAGGTTTTTGTTTTCGTTTGTATTTGTAATTGTGTTAGCGTTATGTTTGCGTTTTGTTGTTTTGGTTTTGGTTGGTTGTTGTTTGGGTGGGCAATGCCTGGTTTATGATGATTACTAAACACACAGGTAATGGTCTTTAACAGAAAGGTTTTTCACAGAAGCCAGAGCAGGGCCTGGCCGGGACGGCTAGTGAATTTATAAAGTGCAATATGGTCGGTAAAACACGGATATTCTAAAATACTGCCTTTTATTTATTTCATACACTGAACGTACTGTATACTAATTATTATTCTATCTTTCGGTTCGCGGACAAGCTAGGGGTTTTATAGCAGAGGCGTAGCGAGGGGGGGGGGGGACGATATATGTCCCCGGGCGCCGACCTTAGGGGACGCCAAAATGGGTTGGAAAAACAAATTGAAAATTTGAGGGTGGAAAAGAGGGGTGGGGGTGCAAATCAAAAGTTTGAGGGGGAGGGGGATTGCTAATCAAAAGTTTTAGGGCGGGGGTGCAAATCGAAAGTTTGAGGGGGGAGGGGGATTGCTAATCAAAAGTTTTAGGGCTGGGGTGCAGATCGAAAGTCTGAGGGGAGGGGGTGTGCAACTCGAAAGGGGTGGGGTGTAAATCGAAAGTTTGAGGAGGGGGGGTGCAAATCGAAATTTTGTCCCCGGTTGCCGGGAAGGGTCGCTACACCTCTGTTTTATAGTCATTCACTGAGTCATACGCGTCCGCCGGCGCTTGGAAAGGGCGCGATTTGGCGCAATGGGCTAGACTGTGAGCAAAATGCCTTTATGATTGCATTTAAATTGTGTTTATGTTATGAGTGTTGTGTTTGTTTTTTCGTTGTTGTGTTTTCGTTTGTTTTTTTGTATATATATATATATATATATATATATATATATATATATAT